CCTTTTCAAGACAGCTTTCTGACTTTGAAGGCACCCATCGACATGCTGTCCATGGCACACGTTCTCTAAAATTTCTACAGGATGCTTACGTTATCCTTCTGCATCTGCAAATATTTAATTAATAAACTTACCAGAGACTCAAATTAGAATTATGTAAACCCTCCAATGATAATTATCCGAAGCATACCTTTTAAATTACTGTAATAAAGACTAAGTATTATCACTCTGCCCTTTAGGGTTAAGTGTGCTCAGACTATCAATCTGCTTTACTGATCACGGTCTTGATCAAGCAGCTGTATTTGTAGCAGCATAAATCTGCCAGTGGTTATGTTCAGGTCTACACCTACAACAGGAGCTAATAGTCTTTTATGTTAGACATCCTCAAGGATACGGTGATAATGGGGTTCTGGAGAGCTGTTGAGATTATGTGGAGCAAAATGGCTGTGAACCGGCTGACTTTATGTTGATAAATTTCTTTTTGTTATGTTACTTGCTGTTGATAGATTGGTGTGCAGAAGGAACATAGCCTCCTCCGCTTCCTGGAATTAGAAGTAGCTCTCCCAGCCCCGGCACGTTAATATTTGTTAACTAACTCCTTCATTGAGGCTTGTCACAGTGATGAAATTCAAGGTGGGGTGTTAAATCCTTCTCTTTCTTCCCTTCTCCTACATCTTCATTGACCCATTAATTCCCTTGCCATTCCAGAAAGCTACTGTCATAAGGCTCTGATGGCAGGAATACAGATGTCATCCTACGGATGAGATGGTAACAATAGCTGGAAGCAGCCCAGCTTCTAGACCAGGTCGCTTTTATAGATTACTTCTTTAGAAATTCGAAGAATTTCTGGGAGTGCAAGCAACCAAGGGAACATAATTAATTATCCTTAATATAGGAAAAAAAATAATTGCTAAGAGTTTATTAAAAAAAAACAACACCTGTACGAAGAAGTCGTGAGTTTGCTTGATTCTATCAGAATATTTGACTGTATGTTCTTGTCTGCCATCCACTGAAGTTTCTAATGATTATTGACAATACATGCGAGTGTTGAGCCTGCCTCTGACACTTCACATCAGGATTTTCTCATGCAATTAGTTCCGTGCAACTGAGACCTGATACAAAAATGTCGGGGTAATGACTGTTTAATGAACATAAAATGTGACAAGGTGTATTAAACCTCCGTCACAGCTAGCAGTGGGAAGACAGGGAGGGCAGGGAAACTGTCCCTTGTCGTCTACCTTCAGTGGGGTAGACGAGGAATATCTTCACCTTCTGCAGTCTCTTTTAATATTTTTTTTATTGTATTGGCTGCAGAAAGAACATGGTCTAAATGCAGAAGGGATGGGTGAATGCATAGGTTGGGAATGGGGTATAGTAGGAGGATATTTTTCCAGAGTTCCCTGGTGAAGCTGAATTATAGTGAAGATCATACAGATTTGGCTCATGCTAGTTTGAATTCCAGAGACACCTGTACAGATATCTACAGCTGTCTCTGTATGCCTGTGGTATGGGGTGGATGGTATACTTAACAAGGCTCCTCATGAGAAAGCAACTTGTCTTTAAAAATTTTAAGACAGAAGTCAAAATACTAGAGTGACTGGAGTGGAGGCAAGCCAGGAAAATAGATTTCTCTTAACAGATGCTTCCTTTGCATGTTGCAGGTATCTGTGAATGTTGAACGTGCTGTTAATTCAGGACAATGGCTTTTGTTATTTATTTTAGCTGTTTAAGGAGAAATGAAATCTATACACTGCAGCTACACCAGCTGAAGGTAACAAAAACCCAGACGTTGAGCTCCTGTTGTTTGCAAAGGCACATGCATGTCTGACATCCCTGTTGTCTGAAAGGTTTAATCCTAAGAAAGAAACTTGGTCCAATCAATTCTTAAAATCTCTACGAGGCAAAAAAAAATAAAAAATCATGAAGGAAAATACATTTTCCTGTCCACAGTGTTTGGTTCAGCATAATTAACATGAATAATGCAACACAATTTTCTGATAGTTATTATATTAGAGAGCTTAGCTGACTCATAACTGCCCCCATGACATAGCCAGAATGCAAATTACTTGGATAGAAATAGCACAGAGCTGGTTTGATTAAAATGTGATACATATTTTGAATTAAAAATATTCAAGGTCTTGCAAAATGACCTTAATGTCATTCCCCCCCTCAAGCCACTGAGGAAATTTGCATAATCATTTCTAGACAGCTTTCTACTTTCCCCTCTTGGAATTGGCAGGGCCCTGCCATTCACAGAAGAGCAGGGTGTGCTTTATTCCTTTTCTGAGCTCAGCTGCAGTAGAATAAAGAGACAGCATTTTGTCGTTGCGCTCTCTGAGATGCTTTATTGTAATTACAGTGATAACATATCTCGGGCACGAGTCTAACAAACTGTAAGACTGCAATCCTTGTTAGTTGGACCCACCTCCAAGTCTTTCTCCCTACAGCCTCTGAAATCTGTGTCGAGTCACTCCCGAGTTCCTGTAAGCGCGTTTATTTCTTCAAGGCTGTCCCTGGAGCTGGAAGATAGCAGGAATAGTCCTGGTACTCTTTGGGGAAGGAGTTGTGTGATTTGGGGTAGCTGAGGGGGTTATGCCCTCCAGCCAGCAGCAGCACAGCCTTGTGAACCAGTGCTTGCACAGCAGATGCCACAGCTGGCTTACAAGATAGATAGGGTTGTGCTACAGGGATGGGTTAGACAGCTGCAAGTGGTGGTTTCCAAAATCGTACCAACCTAAGCAGTTCTTGCTTTGTGAAAATCCGATATTTTCTGGTTAGGCTTTGGTTTACTACCCACATATTTTTGCTAGGAGAAGCACAGAGCAGGAAGAGTGACTGGGGAGAAAGAGACTTTTTTTTTTTTTTTTTTTTGGTGGCTGTAGCAGGGTTGTGATGACTTTGTTCTTGCTGAATTTGTTTCAAAGACTTTGTGTGCTCTTAACTTTGGCTGAAAAGTCCGTAAGCCTTGGGCACTTGGATCTCTTGGGGATGTCTCTGGGAACTTCCTCCTAAGGCTATTTTAATTATGCAGCCATCAAACACTTTGTGTAACGGTTTGGGAAAGAGCAGTGCACTGGCTGGAAAAGATAGATGATAATTTAGAGAGGAGGACCTATTCCACAGACACTTGCCCCAAAATATGTGATTTCAAAGTCGGCTTTCAGTTGGCATGTCTCTTGAAAAACAGAATGAAATGCTGTAATGAGATTCTGTGTTACTCGCTATAGCACATTTGATCTGGAAAATCAACGAGAAGTTTACATATAAAAGGATCATTTTGCTCCCTAACTGGCAGCCCTGCAGCTCCCCTTAAGGCCAGGAGTGAAGCAGCCACTTTGGTTCTCAAGATTCAGGTACTGTGGCTGCTGTAGGCACAATGATGCTCCTCTTGGTCTCTGCAATCACTGCAGCCATTGCACTTCTGTTTGAGTATCCAGGCGAACACGTGCACCACGAGCCCAGTGATGGCAGCACACTTTAACAGAGCTCTATGATTTTTAAGCTTTTTTTTTTTTTTTCTGGATGCTCATGTGCTTCCTCACTCAGTTCATTCATGGATTTTCATTCACTGGCTCAAATCCATCTCCCTTTATCACGTAAAAGTTGCTGAATAGATGGCTATTTTGGGTGACATAGAAAAGAAGGTTTTGTCATGCTGAAAATAGCCTATGTCTCCCTGTGGATCTAGTTAATAATGTGATCTAATTAATCAACTGTAATTACTTGTGTATTCTTCCAGGTAGAGTTAACACAGGGTAGCCTGCTCGTGGTTAGCACCTGAGGCTTTTGACTGCTTCTATGGCATAAGTAACAGTTTGTACAGATTTGGGGCACAAAGCTGTCCAAACATCAATTCCCTCTGTTTCCAACCAAGCTTGATCCAGGCTCTCTCAAATTTCAAAACCAGTTTGAAGGACTTGAGACCCAAGATTAGCGGACCTCCTGGCAAATCTCTCTGGGGGCTATTTTCTTGGAAGCACATCAGACCAGATAACTTGCTCCTTAAATCTTGTTTGTGCAGCCAAATCCCATGTCAAATATCCAGCCCAGTTTAGCTCCTGCTCCCACACTCTATTCGTCCTCTCTATGAGATTGTTTTGCTGTAGTGTGGGGAAAAAGACAGATGATAAAAGCTCTTTTACCAAAACATTTTCCATTTTACAGCCCAGAGACTTATCTCTTTTCTTCCAATTCCCCACCATTCATTAATTATACTTTTCTTTTGACCCTTTTCTTTGTTCCTCTGGTTTTTGATACCTGGAGGAATGTGTGATAAGGACTTATTGAAGTTATCACTAACCCACCTTTATCTGCAGGGATGCTGCCTCACTCATCTATTAATCTTTGCACCAAAGTCTGTTGGAGTCTGTCTATTGTTCTTCCGCCTACCACTGTTTAGTATTACTCTTCTATTGTATGGTTTTCAAGAAAACTAACTGAGAAGTAACAGCAATATTTCTTAGAATGTTTTTCTAGGGATTCAAGCAGGGGAGACTTAAAAACCAGGGCTGGATTTAAAACAAAATAAAAACCCAACCAAATAAGAGGGTGCAGGGAAGACCTTTGAAATAGGTGATGCAATGTGACCATCACTTAACACATGGATGTTTTTTCCCCCATTTAAGCAGCTGACACCTTAATGGGGACTGGGATGGCCCATGTTGCCCCAAAGCTGCCTCCCATTGGGGTGATGCCATGCAACGAGCCCCCGGTGCCTTCAGTGCAGTTACAATGTGAGAGCTGTAATTGAAGGTTAAGTCCTGTTGGTTGTCACTGCCACCGTGTTGCTTGCAGTGAGCTCTTTTAGTTTTCTTATGGTTATAATACATAACTTCATCTGATTTTCATTACCCATTGGAATCATTTTCTTCATTTACGTGCTGCAGTTGTTGTTCATTGTGCCTCTGGCACAGTTTTGTTTCCAGTAGCAGCAGATGCAGTAATTGAGCTGTTCCCTGACTTTACTGCCACGATTTGTAAAGGCCTTGATTCTCTCTCCTACAGAATGAACAGCTTCTGAAGACTCATCTTCCTGCCTGCCCTGTACCCAAGCAAAGCTCAGTCACTAATACTCAGTGCTGGAACGCAGTAAGTATTGCGGAGGGAGTAGACCACCAATTTGCCTCAAGATGGCACGATCCAATTTATTCTGTGGTGCTTGGGAGTGGGTAGGATGGCTTTAACTCATGTCAAATTGTTGAAGAATTTGTTGATCTTGTTACTATTTTATTAATTAAATTAATTCAAGAGAGTTGAAGTAGGAAAGACACTTGGTTTCTGGCTTCAGTTTGGGTTACTCTAATCAAGAGTTTGTGTCCATATGCTCCTGCATCCTCTGAGTGAAATCACTTCTGTTGTGTCAGTTTCATTTCTCTACAGTGCAGATTAAAAACCTTGCTTAGCTTTATTCCTAAGTGTGTAATAGATATCTACTGAAAACTGGAATGCCAAACACACACATTGAATGAGGCCTCAGACACTTGAGAAACAAGGAAGCAGATGTTGCCTTACTGGCGATTCGTGTGTGATTTCAGCCACACAGTACACTTTCTCCAAGCCAAGATTCCCCAAAGCAGGCTTCAGATCACAGAAGTGACTTCACAGCTGTTGGAAATCACCACATCTAATTATTTATTCTGTTCAGGTTCTTTTTTCTCATCTGTCAGTTGATGCGCCGTTTCATCTACGAAGACCTGCCCTGTGATGACTGACCAGATCATTTTATCTGCTGGGTGAAATGAAGCTGCTCACAGATGCACCATAGACTCCATAGTTCAAGCAGGAGCATTCCTTAGTAAGCATGTAGTTATGCCCAGTGGCTTTGCTATTCCTTTTCTTTCCCAGTTTCTACTTGGGCTGCTTGTTTTCAGAATAAACAACATCAACACATTAATTTTTAGCACTTTATACTTTCCTAAGGAGTAGCAGAGCTTGTTTCTGCGTTAACATGAGGTGAAGTGGTTGCCTCACTCGCTGGCCATGTTCCTCACCCTATGAATATGCATTTTAGGGGTTGTTTTGTTTCCTTGGTAAAAGATTTGCCCAGAAATTCACTGTGAAACCATCTGCTTTCAATGGTTTACTTCTACCAATTAATTTGTAAACTATTTTTTTTTTTTATTATAATCTAATTTTTTGATAGGGTTTTAAACACTTGTTCCATCACTCGGTCCAGCTTGCTTGTGCTTAGTGATGCAGTGTTATTTTCACTTAAGGGAGATTGACTTCAGTGTGTGTTTATTCAGCTTGCTTACAGATGAAAAAGTTACTTTTTTATATTGCAAAGCCTGCCCTGGTCCTGCCTTTGTCCCCAACCCCACCCTGGTGTGATTTCCTAGTTTCTAACTCACCTTCTTAATGCAAGAGCAATTATTCTTAGCATAAATAATTTCTCAGCCATTGCTGCAGCTAATTATAAGGACTCGGATCAAAATGATTCCCAGAGACCACAAATAAATATCCGGTCATTCCCAGCAGTTGGAAGAAAATCTGCTTGTGAGGTCTCATCCTCCTAACAGCAGCAATGCCCGCTTATCTCCATCCCTGGTGGAGGCTGCCCGTGGGAGGTGCTGAAACATCCTGCAAACTTTGGCAGACAGCGTGCCTGAGAAATTATTCAAGGGAAACCTGTGCTTTTAGGTTAGTTTTCTGCTGAGATTATAGAAAATAGTGTGTTTTTTACCTAGATTTATTTCAGTGGGTCTTGGACTTATGGGTGCACCAGAGTAAATTCTTTCCTTATGGCTCGCTTTGGCCACAAGTAGTGCCAGCTGAGCGTGTTGTGACTCTTGCTGATGGTCTTTCTGATCTTACCACTGACCCATGTTGCCTCCTCCTGGTGTCTAAGGGATGAATTTTAGCTGCTGGCTTCTCTGTGGCAGCTGTGTGGCTGATGGGTCCATGGCTGCAGAGCTGATCCTGACCAGACGACGTGCCAAGGGCTCTGTGAGCTCTGACTGAATGCTTTGGCTTGAGTATTGAAACCAAAACGTTAGTGCCACTGTTTGGTTTCCCAGTTACCAATTGATTGGATGGAGTCTAAAACATTGGCAGTTGATGTATGCGAGAGCTGCATCTTGGGCTAAATCTACAAACCAAATTATCCTAGATAGACAGGGAAAGCCAGGATTTCATATGTCATAAAACTGCATTTTGCCACGGTTTTGTCTGAGGAGATATTTTCTTCCTATAATGAATGTTCATTAAAAAATGTTATCTCCAGGATTCAGAGTGGGTGATTTACTGTAATTGTAAAGATTTCTCGTGTAACATTAACACATACAAGAGTATAATTGGTACAGGAGGAAGCATTAGCAGAGCAGCATGCTGAGCTAGGGCTCGTACGTGTTGTAGCAGCCAATCGGTCCTGAAAGAGAGGATACTCGTGGTGTACTCATGCTGTGGAGCAATTCTGCTGAGACTTTGCTTTGACTGAATTTTTAGTGCTGCTGAAATGTAGTTGATCGATGGCTGCAAATAATAAGGATAATATCCGTAGCACTTCTCACTCCCAGAACTCGGGGCGCTTCAGGATCACAAGGTTTGTCTGTTGGCCTGTTGGGAGATTTGCATCCAGCTTGCTGCAACGTCATGAAAATGCAGTGATGGTGGTGGAGCTGTGGTTACCTGGCTTATCTCTCCTGCTCCAGGAGGCTAACCCATGTAGGGTGTTTAATGTTTCTGCCTCAGTTTGATTGCAGCCCAGAACATGGGACTAGATCTTTCCTCCCCATCCTGATCAATTGGATTGACCAGAGTCTCCACCACATAGAAACACTTCGGTTAGAAAAGACCTTCAAGGTCATCAAGTCCAATGATCAGCTTGATCTACCGAGTCCCATCACTAAACCATGTCTGTTAATGCCACGTCCACGTGCCTCAAATACCTTTTAATTGCTGTCATGCTCAGTTTGGGGCTTCTCTCCACTTCTGTTTTAGGGCAGATCCATACGGCAGAGGAGAGCGGGCATTGTGGACACTTTTGCCATGCAGTGAAAGCAAAGATTGAGCCTCACGCAGCCGGAGGGCACGGGATGGTGTTGTGCAGGGAGGTTTTCCTTGTGTCTGAAAGCAGTGCAGCATCACAGGTTATTAGCCATGGGGCAGTGCTGTGCTGACAGAGCTGTGCAATTTGCTTCTAGACCTAGAGCGAGTGAGATGAGAGTAATCGGCCTCTTTGTTTCTGCATCATGCCACATCTTCAAAGGTGTTTGATTCTTTTTTTCCTTAATTTTATTGTATTCTTTCCTCTAAGACAGCAAAATTGTTTTGGGAGCTGTGATTCACTCACGGAAGAGCAGATAAGTTTAAATGAGAATAAAAACTCTGCAGGAAGCAGTGCTGCAGGGTTGACATAGGAGTGGATTTTCCTTCAGCATGTTTCAGTACCTGGCAAATCACTGTGTGCCTCCTTATGTCCTCCTCAGCAGGAGGGGGAAGCCTCCCTGCCTCTCTGGGATTTTGCAGATAAATGACACAGGAGCTGCAAGGCCCTTAAACAACACAGATCTGTGTTCAGTATAAATGCCTAACTTGGATTGTTAGCCTGGCAATGTCTGTGTCCTGCAGAAACAGCATGCTTGGTGCTTCTGGAAAGATGCACAAAGCATAATTTCAGGGTATGTGGCTAGTGTGATTTTTATTTATTTAATGCTGTAGGAAGATGTCTTTTACCTTGGCTCATTTCTTAGATTCTGCAGTGACTGATGTTTATGGATAGATGTTGGTGGTCTTCATGAGAAGGAGCCCCATAGAAACATCTACTCTGGACTCCCTCTGGACTGCTATATTCTTTCTCAAGTGTTCCAAGGGAAATTCTTCATGTCAAGGTGAAATAAAATGAGAGAAAATAGGAAAAAAAGACGTTACTGAAGAGGAATGGACAATAAGGTGTCTGGAAAACTGAGCTGCCTCTGAAAGCAATGGAGTCAAGTGCTTCCAGATGCAGAAACAATAGTTTATTGAAATTAGTCAAAATAAACAGGTCTGGATGCCCTTTACAACACTGTGCCAAACGGTCTCATTGAATATGCTCAGAAGCATGTAACTGTTTGTTTCTGTGCTGCATACATTTTTTCACGAGATGAGAAATGAGTTTGAAAATGATAGCTGAATTAATTTGTAGCTTTGTCTAGACTCTTGGTGTCCCATGGAAACAGAGCGTTGGTAAAGCAGAGCACATCATGCTGCTGTTCTGTTTTTAAACAGGCCCTCAGTGGTGAGTCTTTTCTGTTTGCTTTGTTATATGGAGTGTACATAGGCTTGGGATGGATCCTCAGCTTAATCTGTGTTTGGCTGATGATTTCTAGAGGTTGCCATTGAACCATGGTGAAAAGGCTGGTTGCAAAAAGAAAACAAAAAACAATAATAATAATAATAAAGCAAGAATCTGTCATTGGCAGTCAGGGGTTGGATATCCAAAACTTGGTTAAGGAAGACAAACCCTCGAGCTACGCTGTTTTGACCTTTATTACATTTGCCATCACTTCATCATGTTTGTGATAACTTCGTCCTCACTTTGTATTCATGTTTCGTGGTCATGAATTTCTTGGTTAGAAAGGTTTGATGATACTTTCAACTTCTTGATTTGACATAGAAGGTAGAAATGGGAGAGAAAAACACCCTTTAGACTGAAAGTGAGCACGTTAAATGTATAAATTCTCCTCTGGCTCCTGCCTGGGTGCTGTAGTTCAGTTAATTTGGGGATATATTCTCCTCCAAGGGGCCAGTGCTCCAGCTAAGCACTGCACCTCATGATACATCACGCTGTCCTTTTTGCTGAGCTGCTGTGGTGCAATGCTGTTACATTTTGCTGTTGTAAATCAAGAGAGATTTAATTTGAAAATTTAATTTAGTCATGCCCAAGGGAATAGAGAAGTCCAGAGACACTGCAGTGACACTTCTGAATGTGTGTATATGCATATATATCTTTCCAATTGTCGATCTAAGCTTATTTTTTTGCACAGTGCAGAGAAAATAAATGTTCTGTGCATTTTAAGAACCACTTGGTGCCTTTTGATTCTACTTGTGTTAACTTAGGGGCCCAAACTTCCCTCGGAGAAGTGTGCTAGGGTATGGTGTGGTTTGCAAGATCAGTCCTTGCAGAGGTAGCACAGCATGCGCTGAACCTTGACTGGCAAATTACAGTCTGCTGGCAGAAAGCTGGATGGTTTTGACAGGGCTGGAAGTAACGCATTGTGTGTTTTGAGTTAATTCAGATGTGTTTTGTGCCTTCTGTGTTTTGTATTCTTGTGGCTTGTGTTACATCTACGGGTTGCATCCAAAAGTTGGGCTGGGGCTTGCCCTTCCTTTACTATGCTGCTGCATAATTTAGAGCACAGATGAAGGGGATAGCATTTATGTAGCTTTTGTGTGTACACAGACACACGTCACTGGCATTGCATCAAATCTGCAGCTAGAATTTCATGATCACTAGATCATTCCTAATTCTTGATATGCTGCTTTAGAAGACCAGATGTTTGCTGTTTGAAGGAGTGTCGTCATCTGACGTACAGCCCGCTGCCTTTGAAGAATCCAGGAGTTCAGCAGGAGCAGAAAACAGCAGAAAAGCTGAATTGCTTTAATTGGGTTGAAAAAAATCCACAAAGGGTAAGTGCTATCAATGGTGTAAATCAGCCCATCTGTGGGTTTTAATGAAGTGCTTGAGACTTGTGTGAATTCTGTTCCTGTCCCCAGAATATTTAAGCTTTATTACTTGGTGTCTCATGCCAGTTAGCCGAGATGGCTGTATCTGCTTTTGTCAGGATTGTAGGAAAAGAAATATCTCGTTGTGGACACAATATGAGGTGAGTCTGTAGATCTGCTCCTTTAGAGTCATGCAACATTTTTTGGTCGTATCAGTACGTGTTTTTTGCTAGATTTCCTTGGTTAATAGTAAAGTCATTGTTCAAGTAGGAGGAACACAGTATCTTCATGGTTCCTTTGAAAACACTAGAGGAAAGAAGTGGTGAGTCTGTTTAATGAGAACACATTAATGTTTAAGAATTTGTTGATAACCTCAATTAATGACAGGCATGAAGATGTACATAATAGGGCAGGAAGGCTTGGAACAGATCAGAGTTTTTAAAAGGCAAAGAACTTCTCTGCAACAACTGGTGGAAGCTATAGCTGTGTTCTGTGTGTGTGAAATATTAAAAAAAACACAACACATACACATGATTTTGGCTCTTGTGCAAATTACTAGATTGTTTCTTGGATTTTAGGCTTTACTTTTGGATAAAATATTTTAATGTATTGAAGTCTCCTTTTCAGAAGTGACCTAGCAATTTGAAGAGTTCCAGCACTGTTCCAAAGGCAATTGGAAAATGTGGGCTGTGGCGGTAATTTAGGAAGTATTTGCCCAGCTGTAAAAGACTGTTTGCCTCCTACAACACTGCATCACTTCAAGCTTTACACAAGGTAACTAAATTTCTTTGAAAGACCTTTAGGGTTATTTAAGTGTCAATGTAAACTTTGGTTTTCTCAACTAGTTTCTAACATCTGAAGAGCTGCAATCATTGTTTGGAAAACAAAGCAAACAAACAAAACAACCACAAAAAGCCACCGTTTTTTCACCTGAGTTTTAATATGAAGAGTCTGATTTTGAGGTAATTTGTTCTTAGGTTTCATGATTTGAAGAACAAAACAAAATGTTTTGATTTGACATCAAGTAAGTGATAAGCATGTGAAGTGTGTTTTGACAGATGCTTTCTCTTGCTCCTCCAGTGGAACTTAAAATAATTTACTGTTCAGTTAAATTGCAGGCTAAAACCAAAATCCCTCAAAGAACTAGGTATTTTTTTTCTAGTTGCTGTGGTGCACAAAGTCTTCAGAAGAGCCGTGGAGCTGCAGCACACATTGTCACTGGTATCAAGCAGTAGTGAGAGGAGGCTTCCTATGCACAGGAAACTTTCTGCTTTGTATTCACTGTGGAAATACAACTATTTCCAACGGGGATATGATTCATCTGTACTTTTTGGAATTGAACTGATTGTTCTGATATTGGCACGGGGGTATAAATGGTGTTATCACAAAATGGAGCCCAAGATGATAAGCCTCGCTGAGAAACAAGTTGTTTTACTGCGAAGGTTAATGTTTTCGGGACAGCTCGTTCCCCATCGTGTGTGGGAGCAGAGCCAGGTCAACGTGTCCGACTTCTGCTGAGCAAAGCCATACGTGTATATGGTAACAATCAGGTTTGTTATCACTGGAGGGGAAAAAAAAATAAAAATCTTGCATATCTTTGTTTAGGGGCTATATGAGCTTTATGCTTCTCTAGAGGAGTGCATTTCATTTATACTGGTAGGTGTTGCTAACGTGGTATGATGATATACATCACTATAGCTGGTGAAAGACAGAGGAAGCCAAGAACTTTTATACAATTTCACCTCTACCTGCAAGAAGTAGTTCAGAAGGAACTGAGTATAGTCTAAGGCTACAGTTTTCTTTTTTTTTTTTTTCGGGTAATGAAGCTTTGCTGTTCATAAAGCACAGAATTTCTTTTCTGGAATGAATCCTTTTTTCTTTTTAGTTTCATGTGCCTCTAGAGATAGGATTTTTCCTTTTGTGGTGTAGTTCCCTTCCTCAGCCCTGGTAGGGAGGTGTTTCTATAAGAAACACACATCTCACTGCCTGTGGCTTTTCTCTAAAAGCCCATATTTCAGTTTCAGAAGCTGAACCTGGGAAACACTCTGAATTGCAGCCAGTGCTGAGCTACCAGCCACCTTTGGAGGGAGCTTGCAATGGGCAAGGAGGACAAGAACAGAACATCTGTGAAGACCAACCTCTCATTTTCCAGGTCCTATCCCATGTGAGAGTGCCCACCAGTTTTACAGATCTTGCATGGTTCTGGCAGAATAATGTCTTTGCTGTTGTGCAGCTGTGTAACTGGCAGGGTCCCAGCTACCAAGAGGTGTAAATTGCTGATGCAGCGTGAAACTGTGTTGCTTCAAGTGAGGATCAGCACATTTTTGCATCTCACCCAGCTGTACTATGGTCCTGTGAACCTGCCTCTTATTCTGTTGTAAACCATGGTAATTCTGAAAATTTTATTTTAAATCTAGTCTTAATCTGTGTTTGAATGGTTTAACAATTAGGCTCGCTCCCTTCATTTTTAAAACAAGGAGGCTGCCGAGTGGAGAACGCTTCCAAGAAATTTTACATATGCCATTTCTCATCATGGTGCTTGAAGGGTAGAGTAATTAGTTGGAACAGCTTAGTTATCTTTAAAACAGAGCAGCACAGCTATTGTGTGCAGCCACTTTTCAGCAGAAGCATGTGTGAGATGGAGAAAGCTTTACTGTGGTGCTGGCTGGCTCTTGCCAGTCAAAGTACGACCCAGAGCATGTCTTCGGTAGTGCTCTTTATTAATCTGCTGGAAGTCTTAATGTGACACGATACTTTAAAATGAAATGTATGTCGCATATAGGAAGTGACTGACTTTTCGTCCTTGTCAGTCAGAGCTCTTGGGAGTAGCTTGAGAGGAGGGTATGGACTTGCCTAATGAAGGTTTGTCAGCTTAGCAATAATATACACCTATGTGATTCTGTTTTCTAAGACTGAGCTTAGTACACAAAATTCGTTTTTTTTAATTGAAAAAAACTAAAAATATATTCTTTTAAAAAGAGATGCATATACACAATTCTGAAAGTGCTCTTTACACAGTTCTTCAGCTTGCCTGGAGATGGCAATGTGGTAGCACAATTGTTACACCATGACCTACTCCCAGGAATATGTAGAAATTATATTAAATTAATAATAAAAAAAATAAAGCTCATTTTGAGCCAGCTCTGCAAAAATATAGGGAATAAATACATTAGAAACATACAGATAATGTAGCTGAAACACAGCTGATTTAACTAAATGAGAAGCTTTGTGAATGGTAAATTAATTTTTTATTGCACCCAGACACCCAACATACTTTTAACGTCGTGTAGCATCCATTTCGGTGAATGACTTACGATAAACACCAGCAGTGGCCCTGTGCTGCTGCTCGTTGGCTGTGTAACATGGGTGGCACCAGTGGCTGCTGCAGCAATAAAGACTGAGTTACCTGGGCTCTCAGGGTGGTCGTTGCCTTTATGCTGTGTGCCTGCAGCACAAATCTCTTGTTTATCAACTTACGCCTTAAATAAGAGTTGTTTTTTGGGGATTGGGGGAAGTGAGCCATTTTGCTTGCTTGTAGCTGGGAGAATTCTCTGACAAGGGAAATGACAAGGTCTTGTGCTTAATTACAACACGATCCACAACAGTGATGCCTGTCCTTGTGGAATATGTTTCACTTCAACTCATTTCCAAGAGTTTGGCAGGGAGTATCAGTGTTACCTTCAGTTCACGACTGGACAGACTGACGTGCAGAGAGCTGGACCTGCTCACCACCAAGTCAGCCTCCGGGCTAGCAGCAAAGCTGGGGAGATAACCCAGCTCTGCTGACCTCCAGGGTACTGGGCTGTGGTCCCAGCAATGTGAACATAGAGAAGACCTCCTACACCTGTGTCTGGGTAGATTCAAGTGCAGAAAATCCCCTTGGGTTCTTTGGGTCACTAAGAATACAAGGGAAGTGCTGTAGGTTATAATATGGGAATTCCCTTTCATATGAAGCTCTAAGGATAATAAAAATATGATTGTTTTTTTTTCCCTCCACAAAAGACAATGTGAACTAAATGCAATGGATTTATTCACTAAATTGTTCTGGCTCCAAACACTTCCTTTAATCCCCCTTTGGCATCAGGGTGTTTTAAGTCTGGTAAGCTGTTTTCTTTGCTGTTGCAGGTTGGATATCTCTATTACTGTATCGCTTCTGCTGCTCAAGCACCCATCGCTCTGTTGTAATATCTTTGACTGGAGGTAAGTATAGTATAAATTGTCACTTTGACACGTTACGCTTTGCAGCGTGTTGAATAATGAATTTAACACGCTGTCATCATGCACCCGCACCTTGCCAAATGTTTAAAGTTGGAGCCGCTTGTTTTGTACTCCAAGATGTGGCTATTTGTTTACAAAGCACTTCTGCTCCAAGAAATGTCATCTTCTGCACTGTTGCCATCACTGCAGGTTTTCAGGAAAAGGATGGCGGAGCTAATGGTGTAAATGGCACCATAAAATTAAAGAGTGTATTTTCTTTATTTTCCATGCTCTATTCTGGACCTAGCTGTGTCATTTGAAGACCTTAATGTTCTGTGGAATAAAAATGACATCTGGCAGTATGTCACTGGTGATTTTGGGTATTTGATGGAAGAAACAGCATGTATTGCATAGAAATACCCCCAAAAGACTTGATGCCTCATCAAACATGGCCCGTGAAGTCAGGTTCAGAAGCACTCTTTACCTTTTCTTTCCTAAATATAAGCTCAACTTTTGTGATTAGCGTTCCTAGGCAGGAAGGAAGAAAACCAAGTTTTGCCATGGATATGCAGGGATGTATGGGAGAAGGAAAACTGATATTCACTTACCAGCTGTCTCATTTTGAAGGATGTAGGAACAGTTAAGCTGCTGTTGGACCCAGACTGTGTATCATTGGAGGTGTTGGTAGCATTAACTGCAGTCAGTCATAAGAGAATAAAAGATGAATAGACTGTTGTTAATCTTTTTACACTTGGATTAATTGCAGCAGCTGTAATCTCCCTGTTGACTTCCAAACGCTCAGATCAGGATGCGAGGCAACTCTTAGCTTGGACAAGTGTTAAACTGCCTGGTGCTTGGGGAAGGTGCAAATGCTGGTGTAGGGAACTGCTCCTAGAGCAGTAGTAACCACTTCTTCTTTGCTCTCCTTCATATTTTTCTGAGAAAGTTAGTAGAAATGGTCATGCCAAACTGCACTGCAGTGGGAAAGACAGTAGAAATTTCCATCCTTCCCCCTCCCTGAATTTACACTCAAACTAGTTTTATTATTAAAGGTCAAATAAACATCTAGGAGTACAGCTTGGTTATCCTCATTCTGTTTTGCCATTGCATCCCAGGATGATTGGAGGCATGGCCTTCAGTTTAGCTGAAATGATAGAAACGAAGAAGAAAGAGATGAAGGAGAAGACATAGGAAATTATTACTGTTGGGTATTATTTTTTGTAATACAAGGAGCAGAGGGGCACTAGGTAAAATTAGAAAGCAATGGGTTTAAAAAAATTAAACAGAAGTAATGTTTAAGAAAAGTTGTGGGACCCTGGCAACTTGATGTTGCAGAAACTCAAAATACAGGCTAATTCTAAAAAGGGTTAAAGGATTTATTGGAGGATACATTCACGAGTGTTTCAGCTGGTATTTCCAGCTCTGAAAAGATGTGTTGTAACCCTGTTATGAGGATGGGTGACAAATCCTTGTGTGCTTGTCTCTGATCATTGTTTTTTCAAGCATACACTACCAGACAAACTGGGCTTGGCAGGCTATCAGATTGACCTTCAGTTGGACTTGTACTCTTGCAGGGAGAAGTGTTTGATAACTATATTGTTCTTGTTGTCTTGTGGAGTTGATGGCTCTATCTGTGTGGAGTGGAGTCTTTTTTTAATGATTTATGAAGTTTGCAAGGCTTTTGAATCCTTCCACAGCATTTGATACAAGAGGGCTTTTAAAATTCAAGTTGTTATCATTTTGAGTTGTGTTCTCCTAGTGAATGTGGATGTATTTCCTCTTCAGAAAGTTCTGTTTGTGTTGCAGTGGTGCTGCAGGCCACTTTCCATATCATTTCTGTGCATTTATCTTTGTTGATGGTGGTTTACTTAGCAGTCTGTCTTTATATCATCAGTGACTTAATGAAGAGAATCAGAGCTTTAGGATTTGCAGGTGAAAGGAAGTGCATGACGGGCACTGCTGAAATGGTTTAGCCAATTTTTATTTTAACAGTAGGGAAATAAAATAGCCCAAGTGCGAAAATAGATATTTTGAAGCAGAACATAGTGCTCGTCAGCATAGAAAACATTCTGTGACGAGACTTCGTAAGGAATATTTCCTAGTACACGTAGTCCTCCCCATTAATGAGAAACTATGTGTTGAAACATCATCCAGCACTCTTTTTACAGCTTCAGAAATAGTGTGAAGTTTAAAGGTTTTGAGTCACCAAACAACACCTTGCCCTAAATTAGGCTGGCCTGGTTTGCAGCCAAGAGCAAACATTTTTCTAGGGCTGCTCTGCCAGCTTGCAATAGCCAGGGCAAAGTCATGACTTGACTACTCATGGCTTTGTTAAGCTTTCCAGGATGTGTGAGTGAACTCTGCAACCCTCTTCCCAGGCAGGAGAGCTGTTTGTTTAGGCTACATCTACTTCTAAGCATTGCTGTTTTGGTCCCTGAAGACCTGAGTTTATGTCTGATGGAAGGCCAAGAGAGGATTCAGCATCAAAACCCAAACCTGATTTTTATCCTGCCAGACTGCATTGCAAATGCATGGCTGAGTTCAGCAGGTGAGGTTGCACGAATGTGTGATGTTGAGCAGTGTTCAAAATCAGCTGCTGTTGTAGGATATCTTACAGGAGTTGAGCTCTTTCATTTCTAAAGTGTGCATTTCACCTGAGATATCTCTGTAGCCAGGCATCTGAGGGGCTACTTGGTTACACAGATGGAAGAAATCAGGAATCTTGCAGTTGTGTTTCACAGCAGCTCTCCTGCACAGAATTATTTGGGTGCATAATTGCACAATTGCTCCTGTAGGACTTAAGGATGTTTCTCTTCCTCCCTTCCTTTATTTGTGGCTAATTAAATATGCAAAACTTTAGTTTTAAAAATTGTTTTTAAAGCAAGTGTTTGTTAGGTATCAGAGAACCTTTGTGGGCTGCTGGATACTATTTCTCTTGGAGACTCATCCCAAATAAATCAGGGCTTTGACCTCACCTGAGGTCCACAGGGATTAAGCAACCGCACTGACATTTTTGTGAACTGATATCAAATAAGAGCCAACAAAATAAATCTGTTCTTCGTGAACCTCAGTAGGAAACTCAATGAAATAGAGGTGCTTCTGAAAGCAAGATTAAGGATGGTATTAACATTGACTACTCAAAAAACTGTCTAGTAGTGAGGAATTTAATATTATCTGACATTAAGGTATGCTTTTTGTAATGGGGAAGAGCTGTAACTGGCTGAAAACTTTCTAAAAAAAATCAATTTTTGGAAAATACAAATCTACTGTAATATTTCATGTGGTAATTTGCCAGTTTTTTGAAATGGGATATGTTGATGTGGCCACAACATGAAACCAAGACTTCTGTTCTATAACGTAATGGAGAAGAGAGGAGGTTGACTTGTGTCTGAAGTGAAGGACTTCAGGGTTAATTGCTTGTGTCACGGAGAATGTATTTGTTTGCTTTGCACTGGGGATGAGAGGATGTTTTGAAGTCTGGGTGTTTTGCCATTTCCAGCAGAATGGCAAGTTCTGCTCTGAAAACAAAACCTCTCGGCTTGGAGGCGAGTTAGCCTGCCCTTTGCCTCATTGTGATAGACAAAGAAATAATACGCAGCTACTGGTCATGGTTCTTGGTGCACAGCAAAGTCTCTGCTTTTGAAGGAAAAGCAAGGGAAAACCTTGGATGGGTTTGCCTAGCTCTCAGAAACTGTTGGTAAAAAGGTTTTGTGGTGTGGTAAACAAAGACCGGAGTCCTTCAGGTGTAGTGAGCATTTCTAAGGTAGGTTAGGATACACAGAGTAAATCTGCTAATATTGTCTAAGCAGTGTAAGAGCTAGACATCCACAGAAATTTTAACTTATCCTGTTTTGCTGGAATTGCAGAACCAGGATGCCTGTCACCTAGCCTGGTATTTAGATGACCAAATTGAGGGCAACTCAAAAGGGACGAGAAGCCGCGTACACCCCTGCAAATCTCTCAGATAAAGCATGAAAGTCCTGAGCTTTTACCATGCATGGTAGTGTAAGTTTGTCTGCTAATTAAATATCCCACATTTGAACCCTAATTGCTTATATACAAGGTGCCATCCCGGCGCAAGCAGCCTCGCAGGGGGAACTTTAACTGGTGATGTGAATTAGGTTTGCTGCATAGGTGCTAAAAGCTGTGTAAGTACTGCCAGAGTGAGGGGCTTTTACATAAGTGACCCAGATGTACCTCTGAATTTGGAAATGTCGATACCAACATTAATTGTAACAAATATTTCCAAGAAACACTGCTTGGGAACACAAGGAGGTTCAGGCCTTGAAGGTATTTGCAACGAGGCTCCCCTTATCCCTGGTTATGCGCTTCTGTCACTTCTTAGATAATCCTTGATTACACAATGTGCATATATGTATGTTCCTTGCCAAGAAAAGTAGCTTCCAAATGCTTCCTTGGAAAGGAAGGAAAAAAGCTGTAGGTTGCTGAAAGTCAGCGTACAGCAGCATGACATCAGATGTGACACCACTGCTAATCCACTAAGCGGAAAACAGATGTGGGAAGCTTCTATGATTTCCTGCTTATTAAGATCAGATTTGTCCTGTGATTATGAATGCTTTTTGCCTTCTGGAGATACGGATGTTTAGACAATGCTCTTAGAGATACATTTGAAAATTAAGAGTTGGAAGATGCGTGGCATCTTCCCTATCTGCTGTTGGCACTAATTTAGTAATGAGCTAAATGTTATCCCCTTCAGAAGTAATTAGGACAGCTGATTTGTGTGTGCATCTCAGACAAGTAGGAAAATACTACAGATTTCATAATCTTTTCCATTTTTTTTCTTAGAGACAATTATCTGGGTTAAGCAAACTCCTCCTAGCTCAGTGGACAGACTTTTGAACACTGCATGCCTTGTCTAACTTATTTCCCACTTAACATCATTTATGTGTTTCTATTTCTAGCATCCTATTTTTCATGCTTGATTGCATTTTTGTTTGAACGTCTCTCAGTGCCAAACACCTATTTATACATCTTCGGTTAGGAGAGCTGATATTTCTTGTGGTACAAGCCTGCAGAGAGCAGTTTTAATTAGTACCCATGGGGTGGTTACAAACCCTAAAACTCAGTTAGATGATGGGATCATCTAACTGGAGAATGGATTTGAAATATCTTATTTTACCTGCAAATCTGTTATGCAATCATAAATCCTCTCCCTAAAGCAATGCCGGGTGGGGTGTTTATCCTTCCGTCGTATCGAACAGC